TGCTGGCATTCACTTTGTCTTAATTTCAATCTCAAATCACCCGGTGATCAACAAAATTGCAGCAATTATAATAATACTTCGAAACTCCACGGTATGGCCAGTCTCTTACGAATGCAAGCAACCTTATCACCACGGCAGTGGCAGCCGTGGGCATCTGTTTCGCCCTCATGATGAGTCCTAAGCGAAATAGCCATCCATGTCTGCTACTTCATGGGTGATATGGTTGTGCGCATGCTTGAGGTACTTACCATACCACTGAGCTTCCTACTGAACATTGATACCGGTAAACAACAACCTTTGCGATTTTGTAAAGCTCGAAGTTTCCTTTCTGACTATTCCATATATAATAGATGGACTCGTATCCAGTTCCCCTCGTATGAATCCTGCTTTTTGTACAAATCGCCTAAAAATACAGAATGCTTTTAAGTAGGAAGAGGCTCCTTCTTAAAGTTAGAAGTACACTTGAATTAACGTCGTTTCTACCTTTCTAGCATTAGGAAGATAAGCGATTTGCCCTTCAATAAGAAGTAATAAAGGTAAGGCTCTCAATTCCTACTGAATTTCTACTGGTACTAATGTCGAAGTCATTAAATTGGAGTTAACTCGACTGTTTTCACGGCTTTCAACGACCTTAAACAGGAGCCCATAATGCCTTAAACTGTTCGTAATATCTGCACAACAAATTAAATAATTTCATGTCTGTTTCATATTATTTTGGACAGTTGTGGTCTAGTAGTACTCATTAACATCCTAATATCAAAAATTGTTAACTCAAAACTGACGTTTTTCTTAAAAGTGATTCTGAATCTCTCTCACAATAATACTACATTCTGTCTTTCAGGCTGTTGATCTCACAGACCTTTTAAGAAGTTCCATTTTCAACAGGATCTAGGAAGCTTTTTAGCTAGATAAAAATGCACATAAAAGAAGGTTGCAATGTAGTGGACAGGAATTGAAATCAATCATCAAAAGTAAAATAAAGGCCAAGAACCAAAACACCTTTTACTTGGACTGTCTATTTACTTATTTTTGTACTGGGGGTGGGGGACTTGGACCGTGTTTTACTTAATACTAATATAAGCAAAAAACACTTACAACGGCATTTTATTCTGGTTAACTAGAGGTACCTTCCGGCAAGTGCCAACGTGGCGAATTCGTTTATCTTTTGTGGAATGTGCCTATTCAGATCTGCGCCATATTTTTTTTCCATTTTAGGCTTTCACTTTTATTAAACATTTTAACAAGATGTCTTGAAGCTTTGTTGGTAAATATGAGCAAGTTAGTACTTACGTTTCATGGAAAATTCCATTGTATCAAAACTATAAACGTTAGAAAGAAAAATATAGTTCAAATGAGGCCTTTGACTGCTGAAATTAAAAATAATAATTAAATTCCGAGCAACAGCGTCATCAGGGATAAGAAAAATATTTCGCGCGGAAATATACATAAGAAAAAATTGTTGTAACGTAAAATGTGTGAAAAGCGCAAGAATGGGGCGGAATGTATCAGAGGTATAAAAATATAAATTTGAATAAAATACAAAGATCTGATGAGCGAGTGTGACAGGACAAAGAGTCTCTTGAAAGGCATAATGATAGTCTTCAAAACAAAAGGTCCGCAAGTTCGTTGCATTGCTCATGGGAGTTTTGGACCGAGCACCAAAAAAACATGCTAGTTGATAAAATCTCTCGAAAAAAAAAAAATTATAAAAAAAAAGGTCCACAAATACGTTGCATTCCTCACCGGCGGTGAGGACTGGCTCAATATAAATCGACTTGCGAAGAACACGCTGGTTCTGATAAACGTTTTCGGAATATAACCCTATACCTTGATCAACTACCGCTTAAAATTCAATTCACGAAGGAAAAGAGAACACTGAAAACCCTGGTTCTGAGTCGAGAAGCGAACACGCTACCTCAATTTAAATCGAGCTGCAAAGAACAAGCTGGTTCTGACAAAAATTTGAGCGTAAAAATCTATTCCTTGATCAGCTGCTGCTTTTAACGCAATTTATAAAGCAAACCAGAGCACTAATTGCCCTTTCAAACTAGAAATCGTATTAATTAAAGCTTGCTCTCCTGTTAGCTCCTCTGGAACAGACAACGAACAGCTACACACTGAATCACCCAATTTCGGATCACGAGTTGTAAATACAAGACCGTCACTACCCAAATATGGGGTCTTACGTACACCCAAATATGGTCAAAAATGCAAATTTTAGAGGGTTACGCAGAATTTGAGAGTTTTTGCCCACATTGCGTGGCGTTATAATTCTTCCGCCGAGTCAACCTCGCTTGCCTCGTTGGCAAAAATTCGAGTGTGAAGCGCGAGCATTTTTCCTAGCGCTGTGTCCCAAGAAAATAAAAACCATACACCTGACGTGATACAACTCTCTTGGAATCTGAAGATGACTACCGCACGGGTTGCCGAAACGTCAGTCACTGTCAACAATAGTCCTATTCAGAGGGTCTGAATGGGGTGATAGCTTTGACGGTTGACAGTTATTAAGTACAAATTTATTTAGACCCTGTTTACATGGAGTGGGGGACCCCGGTCTAGTGGGGTAAGTTTCTTTTGTTTTGTGTCCCCCAGAGCGTGAAAACAAAAGAAACCAACCCCACTAGACCGGGGTCCACCACTCCATGTAAACAGGGTCTTAGTCCAAGAGTTTAAGGTCGCGGAGGACACCTTGGGCTCATTGCTATGCATTTATTTAAAGCGTATGCACGAAGTATAACGACTGATTTTGACAGGTTGACGAGATAACTGGATAAAAGATGAGCGCATAATTTAAATTATCACTTGATGCAATTTTTTTTCTTTTTCATTGGCCGAAAGCCCGCCACAAATAATGGTCTGCTCATTCGCAATGTCGTCCAACTGTGTTTGGCTTCAAAAAATATTCTGCTCATGAGTAAACGAAACCACCCTTTTCTCCTTCTTGCGATCGCTCTTTCGTGAAAAATCACTTCGCTTTCCGAAGATATTCATTAAAAAAATCAAACTTGGTGATTGAATGATAAAACAATTATTGAACTCGGTTATCCCAAAATATCGTGATTTGTCAGTGTCTGGCAGATCAATAGTTCAGTTTCGAGTTCGCTATGACCGCTGAACTAAAGAAGTGAAGACGCATTTTTTACAGGCTTAGCCTCCATCTGAAGTAATATATTTACTAATTCCAACGAGAAAAATACCTGTTTATTTCTTTGTCTATTTTGTATATTCAAATTTCTAAAACTTACTTGCCGGAATTTCTGAACATTTTAATTTACGTCGAGGCTAACCCTGTATAAATGTGTCGTTAATGTTTGTATTCAGCGGTAATTTTTAATTCGAAACTAGACTATTATTTGGCTCAGCCTTCTGCTTCGCCAAATAATTGATCTACTGCTGGCCACTGACAAGTCACGATATTTTGCTCAACCTCGTCCAGTAATTGTTTCAGTGATTTTTAATAAATATAGAAATAAAAATAAAGATAAGGGAATCTTTAGAAATTTCAACCAAATTTATTAATACCAAAACAATTTCTACGTTTTTTTGTTTCGCCTCCAAATCCTTGAAAACATTGCAGCTCATAAGCAAAATTAAAGCGTGGGGATTAGCATAAATATATATCTTGCTTAGAATTTGTGATTTAGTCGAGTACCTTCGGGAGTCTCGAAATTTGACTTTTCCAACAATTTTGTGTCCAACAATTCAGTGAAGATACAAAACAACACCAGCTGGCACTGCAGAGGGGTAAACTCCTGACTAATGGTAGACTGTAGTGTGTTATGTGTTAAGCGGAATTCTAAAAAGATTGCTTTTATAAAAAGATATAAGCAATCATCATCATCATCACCATTTATACCATCAACAACATCCTCCTCCTCCTCATCATCATCACCATCATTATCACCCGCCATCTTTATCATCGTCATCGTGTTTTTGCCTTCGTTCTCGGGGTCTTCTTCATGGTTATTCTTTTAAGCGAGGTAGTCAACGAACACTTTTCTTTTAACTAGTGCATTCTCTCTCTTTTTATATAATTACAATGTTACCAACTATAGGACACTTAGAAAACTCTAGAAATGAATAGCAATTTGAGAATATTATGGCATTTGAAGTGGCCTACAGCGTAGCTCCAAAATTTGGCATATTGGCCACACCAGACTCCCCAATCCCTTGATTCACTTTGATACGGAGGCCCTCCTAGGGGGTTTACGCATGTCCCTCAAAACCTGTCATTTCGCATATTGAGGAGGAAGCCATATGTCGCTTTCGGTATTTTACTATTTGCGCTTTTCTCTGTCGCTGTCGCAGTTTCAACCCATCTTCGTGTCATTTGCCGCCATTTCTGCTGTCCTATGTCGCTGTTTCAAGGCCATGTGGCTTGTCGAAATTTACCCTAACCATGCTAAGATGTCCTCTTATAAGGGCAAGCGTTTAAAATGCCTGCCGCTGAAGCTTACGATGGCAGATTAAGTTTATCATATTAGTACTGCAGTTACTTTTGAAATTACTACTTTATTCATGCTGATAATAATGTAAAATGTACTAATGCTAACGATAATGTATTTCTGTAGTTGCTACAAAAGTACGAGCTGCAGTAAACGAATGGCATTTCATAGTCCAGCCTGGCCGGAAAAACATCCAGAGACTATAAATAACTGAGGAGGAAGTGCTGCCTCAGTACTGGGTTGTTAAATTGGTTATACCTTTTTAGAGACGTTTTCAGTCCTCAAGGATACAGTACTGAACTTACGCAATAGGACGGGAGGGGAACGAAGAGGGCAAACCTTGTGTGACAATCGTGACAATAACTTTCCTTGAAATAACTTTTCGCCAAACTTCACCTCCCTTTAAACAGATCTTTTTGTGAACGATCAGAAAACATTTATGTTAAGTGAAGATCACGACGTAACACGCGAGTAATAGCCCCGTCACGTTTGTCACGCACAATTGTTTTGCCGTCCTGTTACGTAAACTCACTAGTTATAAACAGGACTGGTTCCTTAGGGATTGAGTTCTAACATCACTGATTGTCGCAAAGTCTGAGGAGCTGATAGGGGTCTCAGTCTACCGTGTATTGAACGCACTAATATTTCCGCCTGGTGTGACTGTGACATTGACAAATGACGAGACAAAAAACCATGCACTTTGACTGGGCAGCAACCTAACGCAATTTCAAAGTATCCTCGGCGATAGGTATGATTTGTGACTCCATATATAAAGGGGTTAACGCACGAGCTTACGAATACCAAAGCAGTGGTCCAATGATAAGTGATAGAGCTGAGTTGCGTGACACCGAGCATGGACAGGACGTACAGCACTTGATATGGCATCCAACATGACAGCATGAAGAGTAATGCAATCCTCACCATCCGAGTTCTCCCTTGCCGGTTGCGCAAAGCTCGGTCGCTAGGTAACACCCGGTTTTTGCCCAGTCTTGTTTTGTAGAGAATATGGCAATAAATGCCTGTCATGACCCCTAAAGGGAACGCAATGTTCAGCGCAAATTGTATAAGAGCCATGTACTGTCTTTTAGTTCCAGAAATTGCTTTCCAAGTACAGCAAAGGCTCTCCAGGTGTTGTTCGTCGTAGCTGACTTCGAAAAGTCGCGGTAATGTCGAGAAAAGCGCGATGAACAAGATAGCCACATACGTACCAACCAAGCGCCGCTTCTCAAAGTTAGTCTGGTAGCTTAAAGGTTTTACGACAGCACACCAACGTTTGTAAGTTAGCACCAAACAAATGTACATTGAAGCGTCGCTTAATGTAAATAAAATCCAGCCTGACCAAAACGCGCGGCAAAAAATCTCGCTCGCTATCGCATTGTTGACTCCGGGAAATAAGCCAGTTAAAAATACCACTGAAGACACAAGAACAGCGAAGGCGGTGAGGAAATCTGTGATAGCGAGGATTAGAAGAAACACGTTGTAAGATTTCTTCAGCAGAATTTTATTTTTTGAGAAGAGGACACAAACTAATGAGTTTCCAAAGAATGCCAAACTTGATATTGTAATAAGGGCAACATGTATAGCTTGTGCGGAGGAGTCTATTGCCATTGTAGTTAGGTCACATTGTCTCCCACTAGCGTTCTGTTCTTGGAGGAGACTTTCTTACCATCTCTATAAAATAAAGTTATTACCATATATCATTTTAATTTTTATCAAGCTCTTTCATTGATGAAAACAGCTGCTCCTTAGCTCATTCTCCCTCCACAAAACACGCAAGACTAAACTGATATGATCAAGGAAACTCGTTTTTCAAACTATTAGCAAAAACAAAACAATCAAATTCGTGTGAATTGAAAGCACGCAAAGGGAAGGCTTTAGCCACATCCATCTATTACAACTTTTTGGGTTGTTTATCTCACGTCTTAAGCTAGCTAAAATCTCTTAGTACTACCATTTAGATAAATGTCAAGTTCTGGCCAATTTTGAAAAATTCCCGAAAAATGAAGAAATGCTTAAGAAAGTGGCCGAAGCTCATCTTTGCACGTCATTTCACTTTGTACTTTGGGAATTTCTTTGTAGTTCATGCAAATCAGTATTGTTTAACGTCCCAGTCGAGGATTTGAAAGTGTCATGCACTTTTTTTTTCTAAAGGACCTTTCTTCTGTAGTCTCGACCCGCAGGAAAACTGTAGAAATCTGTACTAGTTGCATTGGCTATTCCTTTGCAATTTTCCAAATGATTTGTAAGCTAGCTATACCATCATTATCTTCCTGATGGTTTGCTGTTTATTATACCGCTGTAGAAGGGGTTTCTAGCTTTGAGTCCAAGGTCGGGAAATGGAATCAGCCATGAGGCGTGACCATTGAAATGAAAGCTTCTGAACAGGTACGGGGGGTGGGGGGTACTCCCTATGATGGCCTATACGGGTAGGCTCCGCCCGAAAGGGGTAATACCTTTTTCAGGCTTCAGGTACATGAAAGGTAGGGATTTCACTAGTTGAAGTATATAGAAGGGTAGGTAAATCTGTCATTTGGGTCTGTGAAAGGGCCCAAAAGAGCTAACAGATGAATTTTATGGCTTTATAAAGTTGAGAAAACGTTCTATTTTTGTGATTGATTCCTATTTAAAAGGCAGTGCATTTACAGCAGTTAAAAGAAATTTAAAGTTCTAAACAAGGTATGTGAAAGGCGTACCTTTTTTGTGAAAAATAGTATATAAAAGGTAAGGGTTTGGACCCCGTGGCGGAGCCCCCCCGTGTAAGCATTAATTTTGCCGAACACCCCTCCCCCGGGGAACAGGTCCCGCTGTTTGAATTTTGTTACGTTTTGTGACGAAAGTTTTGTTTATCGTGCTCGCCTTTAGTAGCACTTACTTCTGCTACTGTCATTCTGAAATTCAGCGTATGGTAACCGTACCTTTTAAAGTAAGGGTGACGTTTTGCCATGCTAAGGCCCTAACGTATGCCCGAGTACAATAAGGAAGTCGTTCACCCGGACGATCAAACTCAACCTTTTGAAGGAAGTCTTATATTACGCAGCCAACTCATCGTTAAAATGGAAGCTAAAAAGAACACAGATTTTTTTACCTTCACTGCTCAAGACGGGGCATAAGAAGAAGAATCTAGAATACCGATGTTTTCTAAAACGGAAAATTGCACATTCTCGAACTCCACCTGGCCACTCGAGCTTTGCCACTCCAATAAGCCGCTGGAAGGAAAAAAGATATTTTTCTCTATTTTTTTTTCATAAAAAGGTAAAACAACAACGAAAGCTCTTATCTTCAAACGCAAGCGTGTTGGTTTAGTTATCTTGTTCTTTGATAAAACCATTTCTAGAAACAAAAAGCCATTTTAGCAATGCATAAGTTTTCGGTTATTGCGTCAAAGAAGCACGCACAAGTTAATCGCAGCTGTTAAAATGCGATTATCTAATAGTTAAAGATCGTGAGTTAATGTTCATTTACTTAACCAACGCAGCAGGGTTCAAAAATTAATTACTTCGCGTGCCGCATTACACGTATTACATATTCATCATACCGGTCAAATCAAAATGGCTATTTCAATTAAAAAAAAAAAAAATTCAACGCAAAACGTTACGCCTCACGTTGAAGGTTACACTTTCGGGACAAATCGAGGGAATAGAGCACATATTTTCAGAATGATAAGATTTCTTCAGCTATAAAAAGTGACATGGAAAACAGAGAAAACAGTTTTTGGCTTATTCGTAATTATTGGCAGAGAGAAATATGTAAGATAATTGACGGCTTTTGAGCGATGGAAATCACTAAGATTGGTTACGGGAGAGGTATTCAAAACCGAAGCTTTTATCTTTTTTTTCTTTTGATCTTTAAAAAATATATTTTGGAATTTAGGATTCGTCGAAGATCCAAGATCAAGATCACAAAGTTTTGTTAACTGGGAATTCAATAGATTTCCTATCTAATTTCATACATAATTATTGTTTTGTTTTTCGGTTGAAAAATTGCCAGGCAAGAAGAAAACGTCTCGTGTTGCAGAAGTAACACGAGAATTATTCAGTCCCGTAAACGTTATAAATTTGAGACATTTCTAAGTATTTCTTGGAGGTTTTTAAATACACTAGAAATGTAGTGTAATTACCCACTAGAACAAAAAAATTAAAGAGTCACCATATTTTGTAAAACTGATAAGAAAGATATTTTCAATCAATTTTTAGAGTTTGAGTTTTTAAAAACTGGATTTTGCGATACAACCGAACGATAGAGAAATTTCTAACATTGACATCAAAACTTAATTATTGAATAACACCAAACAAAACGTAAGATTAGCTTGTATTAATGAAGCTTAGACTAGCAAGTGGTTATGTAGCCCATTTTTTTTGCTCGACGCTGTTGAAAGTATATTGCACTATAATGATCTAATCAACCATCTCTTTTCTTTTCACGTGGCCCTTGGCTAGAACGAAGCGGATTACTAAAAGTGCGACAGGGGCGCCCTTATTTTCAATTGGTAACAAGAAAAGACGGAACGAAAACCTTCGAATGTCTTTGAAGGGGCTACGTCTAATGTTTACATAGTTAGTGTTTGTGTATTTTCCGTAAGGGCACACTTAATTTGGAGCCTCGCTCTGTTGTGTATCCCGCACCTTCGTCCCTCGTTTTTGTGTGTTGTTCAAATGTATTTTTTTCCCCTAGTCTTTTTTAGCATTGTAATCATGGTGAAAGCGATTAAATACCTTTAAATAAATACGTCGAGAAATTTTCCATGTTTTTTAAAAGCTAAAACTTTTCTCGCATCAACTGAATGTCAAAAATAATAGTCTAGTTTTGTTACTTAAGACTATATTTAAGCATGGAAATTGTTTCCTGTCCTCTGATGCAACAGATGGCTAGGATTGGCATGGATTGAAACTTAAAAAGTTCGGGCCAACCTTTTCAGGTTTTAATGCAGAGATTCCTGTCTCCCTTACGAAATTTGTTTTGATATCTTCCCTTACGAAATTTGTTCTGATATCTTCCCTTATGAAATTTGTTGATATCTTCCCTTACGAAATTTGTTTTGATATCTTCCCTTATGAAATTTGTTTGATATCTCGAACTCCTCAATAATCCATGAAGAAAATACAAATGTTTAATCAGTGTTTGGAAATTAGATGAAAAACTGTTCATTACTGCATCTTTAATTTCTCCTGGTCAAATCATTTTGTTTTAGAAGTAATATCAAGCATTTGACACTGTGTTTCTCATGCTTGATATATTACTTCATAACTTTACTGGAACATTTTACGTATAAATATTGCTAATGACACTGAGAAATGACTTCAGCCCAGAGTTGACCTAAAACAACAATATCTTCGTGACGTAGCAATGTTAAATCAGCATATATCTAGAGGTTTCTTTCTTTTTAGGATTTTCCTTCTTGATTCCCTTTTCAATGAATAAAACGTGGAAATAAACATTTACTGTTTACACCAGAGTGGTTAAAGAGGGTCAAAAAGATATTTCCAGAAAGCCTGAGTGTTGTGTTATTTTGCTTTTGCTTTTCGAAAAGAAGAAAGACAAAATCATGATTACCTAACCTGGTAATGGCAAACGAAAAAAAAAATCAGCAAAAATATAAAATTATTGTCGGTAATTAAAAAGGAGAGAGCAAGATGCAGTTGTCCTCGCGACATCGACAGACCCCCAAATACACAAATGCTGCCGAAAAATCACTGTTTAATAGAATACTTTCAATTAGGTATCATACTGATCCGTTTTACATTTTAACTTTCGACCAAATAAGCTAATATTGGCTATTGGTATAGTAAGAAAGGAAAGCTACTCAAGTAACGCACAATCAGAAAACCGCGGGAGTACTACAAAATACTGAAATACGAAAACCGCATCGATTCATAAACGAAACAAAAAAACAACAAACTATCAATTCAAAAAAGAAAACAAACAGTGTCATGCAGGCATGTATTGTAAGTACACCTTTCAAATTTTACTGAAATGTAGAAGTTATTTATAGTCTTATGAACAAAACGTCACCTTTGACTTAATCACGTGATTGCCTACAATCTGTTCAGTAAACTGTGGACAGAGGGTAACCATTTTTATCCATTTCTTCGCTGGGGGCAACATCAAGCGTGACCAGCCCCTTATACCATTTCCGAGAAAAAGAGAGACTCACATTATTAATGATGACTTAGTTTTCCTGGTCATATGATCGATATGCATCTAATTTACTTCGAATCACTATCTAAGGTGCTTAAATCTATAACTTTGGCTCAATCCTTCGATCTAAGTTTAGTACAATTGTGACACATTGGGTCTAGATGAAAAGACTACCGTGCAGTGTCGAACCAGTGACATCTAAGCAACTCTGAGAAATTTGTCCCAGCCGTTAGTCCCTAGTTATCTTGTCCTTTTCCACAGCTTTTCCGTCTTTGCTAACACCAATATGTTGAAGAATTTCAGCATCTTTGTTTTCGTCGTTCAGTGCCTTTAGCACGAAGTCGCATTGCTTAACAAACCCCTGGATAGCCTCTTTATGGAAGAACGCCAAAAAATCGTTTCTTAGCTCAACTGAAATCTCCTGGAACTCCTTCCGGCCGCCCTCTTCGTCTTCATCTAGGCTTTCGGAAAACTGTTCCAACTTCTGGGCGTTTTCAGGTCTGCGTTGGCTCGGCGCAAGTACATACTTCAGAGCGTGAAGCGAGTAAGCCATATCAAGCAGCTTGCCCCCGCGAATAACAGCTACTCGGCCAAAAACCAAGTTTCCATCTTCCGGTTGGAATTGCAACCTTCTAACCGCCTTCACTTTTCCTCCAGAAAAGTTCTTAGCTCGTTTAATAGCTTTTGTGAGGTTTTCCGGCATGTTGGTTAATTCGGCGATGTCGTCGACTGTTGCATCATATTCCTCCGGGGGTATCCCCTCCATGAGGTCACAAAGATTGTTTTCCTCGTAAATTGAAAACTTCAGCGACTTTATGACGGTTTCTCCTTTCTTTGGATCGCCTTGGATTTGAACTTCTCCGTTTGAATAGTTGACAGCCGCTCTCATGGTTTCAGTTGGTTTCCGATTAACCTCTCCGCCTTCCTGTTGTTTGGACGACTCACCAAACTTGCTCATTAAGTCTGCAAACTGCGACACAAAGTCCTGGGGGAGACTGGCAACGATCATGAAAAATTTATCGGTAGCATTCTTGCATTGCTCAGGATCGTTGCAAAACATATCTGCGAGTTTGTGAGTGAAATTTTGGACTTTCATCAAGTTACCTTTCATTTGATGGAATGTCCAGCCAAATCTGGAGCCTCCCTCCGGATAGTATTTAAAGGCTAGGAAGTCACCTACTGCAGCCATCAAAATGCCCCCGAGAATGAATTTGCTCGAGAACATATCCACAAAAGATCTTTACAAGAGCACTACTTGCTTTTGCCGATCGATGTCTGAGGTAGAATGAGCTCCATATAGCTACTGCTGTGTAAAGGAATTAGATGGGCCAGATGGATTTGACCAATCAGAATGTTTCTTTCGCAACTACGAGGAGGGAAAAAATACCTCAATGCTAAACAAAGCACCATATCAAGCTCACCGAACTTAATTAGAGATTTGTGTCACTAACCTTTAATAAACAACTTACAAAACTGATGCATATTATGGGCTGTTATATAAGTAACAGATAAATCATTGCTAGTCCAGTGTACTTTATTAGGGTGTATAACTGTCAAACTGATCAAGGGAACCTTTATGAGACATGGTTGCATGACCGAAACGTGTCCATTGAAAATTGTCGCCCGTGAAAAGTGGGGTACCTATTAGGCTTCGCGAGCAAAAACGAAGAGTTTCAAAGGTTACCGCCGTTTTCGGTCTCTTATGAACTTTTATTTATAGCGACTAACTGAATTCTCACACTGTTAAGAGATAAAGAAGAAACAATAGGAGTAGGTTGCCATTCTTTTAAGTGTTGGTTTAATGTCTTTGTCATCGCTACGGAAAAGAAGATATTTATGCCAAAAAAAAGGCATTTTACTCGAGTTAAAACTAAACAAAAACGAATGCTATACTAATCGGTCAATGAATAAGATTGAACTAGAATCGAATTTAACTGGGCTGCCATGGCGATTTTTTTTTTCTGATGGGAGGCACAGGCTACAATAAAGCCTTGTCGCGTGACATAGAATCCTACAAAAAAATCTGTGACCTTAAATTTATGAAAGCAGATCTGTAGACAACCATATCTAGGGTAATTATTTGTCGGAAACCCTTTACGGTAATCTAGACTATACTGCATTATTGTACTGCATGAAAACATTAACTTATGCAGCAGAGCACAGCGAACAGCTGTGGGTTCTCCAAGCTTCCCTCTTATCCCTCTTTTCTTAAGCAAACGCCTCCTTTTGTTACATAGATGCTGACCACGTGAGTGAAAACGCCCTATAGCGATAGTTCACGTTTATAACATTGACGTCACTTAAACGCATGTCTACTTGCGTGTTTCTTTTTTTTCTTTTTTTCGGTTAAAAAATTTTCAACCAAGAAGAAAACGTTTCGTGTTGCAGAAGTAAAGTGAGAATTATTCAGTCCCATAAAAGTTAAATAAATTTGAGACATTTCTAAGTATTTCTTTGAAGTTTTGAAATACACTAGAAATGCAGTGTACAGGGTGTTTCAAAAGTTCGTCCAGATTATAAACTGTATTATGCGCAAAGCATTTAATGCTTCTTTAGGCAAATTCAAACTTATTCAGGTAAGAAATTTATCTAAATAAACGTTCAAAGCAATTTCAAAATGAAATTTGAGGAAATTATAATATTTTTGAAGTTTTGCCCCAAATGTGCACGCACGCGAGTTTTTTCCCGCAATATTTTTCCTGCCCATTTTGTTGGTTTTCTACATGGTGTCAGAAGGATTCGGAACCTTATAGCAAAGAGCGTCCGGCCGGCAAACGCACGTGATGTGAACCCCCTAGAGACCATCTGGATTATCTTTGACGAGAAAACATACAAACATCCAGCCCCCAAATCACTGGACTGGCTAGGGCAGTGACTGCGCTTCGCCTGGGAGCCTGGGGCCTCGTACATTCTATACCTCACCAATTAGAAAATGTCAGAAAACATAAAGAAAGACATTCTGGTTACTAATATTTCGGTTATTCAATTTTAACTGAATAATGAATAACATACTTAGTTTTACTAAAGGTAAGAAAAGCGAAGAAAAAATCGGAACGAACTTTTGAAACACGCTGTAATTGCCCACTGGAGCATTAAAATCCAAGAGTCACCATATTTTGTAAAACGGATCAGAAAGAAATTTACAATCAATTTTTTTAGATTTTGAGTTTTTAAAAACTGGATCTTGGAATACAACCGAACGACAGAGACATTTCCAACATTAACTTCATAGCATAATTATTGAATGGCACTAAACAAAATATAAGGTTGACGTGTATTAATAAAGCTTATAGACTATAGCGACTGGTTACGTAGCGCATTTCTTTTGCTCAACGCTGTTAAAAGAAAATTGCTCCATAACCATCTAATCAATCACCTCTTTTCTTTTCATGTGACTCTTGGCTAGAACGAAGCGGATCAAGTGAGACAGGGGCGCCTAATTTTCAATTGGCAAGAAATAAAAGGTAACAAAAAAGGACGAATCATGAGGCACCTTCGATTATTCTTAAAGGGGCAATGCTACGATATTTTCTATCTTTTTAAAAAGCAGAGGCACCTAACGTCAATTTTTGGAAAATACCTGTTCGGAAGACGATTTGAGATCTAGAATTTTTGGAACATTTGTTGTAAAATATCTTGCTTGCCTGCCTCTCCTAGGATTTTCGAACATCTAAAAAATGGTATAATTGCCTATTTTTAACAGACTTTTAACTCAAAAAAGGTCACCAAGAATTTTCGGGAACCTTTTTTCTGGCTGAAATTTTCGACAAGGTAAGTTTTGATCCCTATAATTTTCGGATCACTAGACTTTCAGCTAGGAAATCCAAACAGATAAAAAAATTTTAGGGGATAAAAATTTGCCTACATCTGCCGTTTAAATACTAAAATACGTTCAACAATGCTATGTTTAAGTGGTTTTGAACTACATTCTCGTTGGGTGCCCCTGAAAAAGCTAAAACGTTTCTCGCATCAACTGAATGTCAAAATTTATAGTCTAGTTTTGTTATTTAAGACTACCGGTATATTTAAGCACTGAAACTGTTTTTTGTCCTCTGTTCAACAGATGACAAGGATGGACATGGACTGAAACTTGAAAAAGTTCGGGCTAACCTTTTCAAGTTTTAATGCAATTCCTGCCGGCTCCTTTATGCAGTTTGTTTGATATCTTCTTCTCAAACTCATCAATAATTCATAAAGAAAAAACAAAGAAAATTAACGTTTGATAAGTGTCTAGAATTAGATGAAAAACTGCTAATTTTTGCATCCTTAATGTCTTCTGGTAAAAAAATCATTTTATTTGAGAAGTAATATCAAGCATCGACACAGTGTGACATCACCAGATGAAACACCTTGAAGTTCGTCAAACATACTCCGTTGCGCGTCGTATTTTTAACTCCTTTCCCGGTATTTCATGTAATATATCAAACATGAGATGCAGTGTTTCATCACCAGATGAAACACCGAGAAGAGAGTTGAAAATACGACGCGCAGCGGAGTATTTTTGACGAACTTCGAGGTGTTTCATCTGGTGATGAAACACTGTGTCGAATGTTTGATATTTCTTCTCAAACAAAATCATTTTTGAAGGAGAAATTAAGGATGCAAATACTAAGCAGTGTTTCATCCGATTTCCAAACACTCATTAAACATTAATTTCCTTTGTATTTTCTTAATGAATTATTAATGAGTTTGAGAACTGGTGATGAAACACAGCGTCTCCTCATGCTTGATATTACTTCATAACTTTACTGGAGCATTTTACGTATTATCATTCATTTGCTAACAACACTAAGAATAGACTTCATCAGCATGCATTTAGGGACTTCTTTTTGTTTTAGGATTTTCGTTCTTGATTCCATTTTCAGTAAATACAACCGGGCGTGCTTAATGGATAAACCGATAAACCGATCAAAAACATATTTTCAGGAAGCCTGAGTGTTGCGTTATTTTGGTTTTGCGTTCCGAAAAGTAGCAAGACAAAATCATGATTACCTAACCCGGTAATAGTAAACGAAAAAAAATATCAACAAAAATAATAGAATTATTGTCGGTAACCAAACAGAAGAGAGCAAGATGCGGTTGTCCTCGCGACATCGACAGACACACAAATACAAAAATGCTGCCGAAAAATCACTGTTTAATAGAATAGGTATCATACTGATCCAATTTACACATTACCTTTCGACCAAATAAGGTAATACTGTCTTTCTGCGAAAGGAAAGCTACTCAAGTAACGCACAATCTGAACACGGGATCTACCACAAAATACTGCAATGTGAAACCCGCCCCGATTAATAAAGGAAAAAAAAATTATCAAAAAAGAAAACAAACAGTGTCATGCAATGTACTGTAAGTACACCTTTCAAGTTTTACTGAAATGTAGAAATTAATTATAGTCTAATGAACAAAACGTCACCTGATTGCCTACAGTCTGTTCTGAACTGTGGACAGAGGGTAACCATTTTTATCCATTTCTTCGCTAGGGAAACATCAAGCGTGACCAGCCCCTATACCATTTCCGAGAAAAAGAGACTCACATGGTTAACGATGTACTAGTCATCCTGGTCAAATGATCAATATAGGCATCTAATTTACTTCAAATCACTATCTCAGGTGCTTAAAGTTATAATTTTTGCACAATCCTTCGATCTACGGTTGGTATCACTGACATACGTTTTTCTTCTCATCGAAGAAATATTGGGTCTAAATGAAAAGACTACCATGCAGTGTCGAACCAACGACACCTAAACAACTCTGAAAATTTTTTCCCAGCCGTTAGTCCCTAGTTATCTTGTCTTCTTCCACAGCTTTTCCATCTTTGCTAACACCAATATGTTGAAGAATTTCAGCATCTTTGTTGTCGTCGTTCAGTGCCTTTAGCACGAAGTCGCAATGCTTAACAAACCCCTCGATAGCCTGTTTATGGAAGAACGCCAAAAAATCGTCTCTTAGCTCAACTGAAATTTCCTGGAACTCCTTCCGGCCGCCCTCGCCGTCCTCAAGGCTTTCGGAAAACTGTTCCAACTTCTGAGCGTTTTCAGGTCTGCGTTGGCGCGGCGCGAGTTCATACGCCACAGAGTGAAGCGAGTAAGCCATATCAAGCAGCTTGCCCCTGCGAATAACAGCCACTCGGCCAAAAACCAAGTTTCCATCTTCCGTTTTGAATTGCAACCTTCTAACCGCCTGCACTTTTCCACCAGAAAAGTTCTTAGCTCTTTTGATAACTTTTTTGAGTTTTTCCGGCATGTTGGTCAATTCCGCTATTTCGTCGACTGTTACATCATATTCCTCCGGGGGTATCCCCTCCATGAGGTCACAAAGGTTATTTTCATCGTAACCTGAAAACTTCAGCGACTTTATGACGGTTTCTCCTTTCTTTGGATCGCCTTGGAATTGAACTTCTCCGTTTGAATAGCTGACAGCCGCTCTCTTGGCTTCAGTGTGCTTCCGATTAACCTCTCCGCCTTCCTGTTGTTTGGACGATTCACCAAACTTGCTCATTAAGTCTGCCAACTGCAACACAACGTCCTGGGGGAGACTGGCAGCGATCATGAAAAATTCATCGGTAGCATTCTTGCATTGTTCAGGATCGTTGCAAAACATATCCGCGAGTTTGTGAGTGAAATTTTGGAATTTCATCAAGTTACCTTTCATCTGATGGAATGTCCAGCGAAATCTGGAGCCTCCCTCCGGGTACAACTTAAAGGCTAGGAAGTCACCTATTGCAGCCATCAAAATCCCTCCGAGAACAAATTTGCACGAGAACATATCGACAAATGATGTGTACAAGAGCACTACTTGCTTTTACCGTCGCCGATCGATGTCTAAGGTAGAGTGAGCTCCTCAGCTACTGTTGTGCAAAGGTATTAGATGCACCAGATAGAGTTGGCCAATCAGAATGTTTCTTTCGCTTCTGGGAATAGGGAAAAATACCCCAAAGTTCAACAAAGCACAGTATCAAGCTTACTGGATGTAAACAGACATTTGTGTCACTAACCTTAAATAAACAAGTTACAAAACCGATACACTGTACATGTAGGCTATTATATATGTCACCGGTAAATCATGGGTAGAGTAGCACTCTGTTTTGTGGTCTATTGGGGTTTATAACTCTCTAACTGATCATGGGAACCTCTGGAAGTCTCCAAGGTCTTTTTCCCGATATTTTTCATCTTTTTTTTTTTTGTTGCACAAGGAGGGGAACTGTAGGCAGAATATGCCATCACTTTCTAAGAATTTGGGACGAAAAATAACAATACACTGTCCATAAGACATGATCCTACGCACACTTTAAGTTTGCGTTGGAAGCTGATCAAATGATAGGTGCATATGTCATCGTGATGTGTTACCAATAAACATGCTCAAGTTTCCTTTACTATTACTAGAGGAACAAAGTACATGGAACTGAGAAAGCCATTTTCTTACCAGACCAAGAGAGAATTTCGCCAGTTTATAGTAAGAACAAAGCAAATTCTTTCTTTGGATATATTATCGGACTAAATAGAGCAGGGTTCAAAAGCATTGCTACCTTGGTATCATAGCAAGAGTAATTCAAGAATCTTTATGAAAACAAATTACACGTCATGCATTTTTACAAAAACGGCAGTGATAGTCTACAGGATGAGATGCAACTCGCCCACTCGTTGGAATTTTGACCCCGCTTTGATGATTAACCGTGAACTCGGAACAGGTAAAGTGGATCGATCACAGCGCCAAAAAATTAAACATAACATCAGTTCGGTTTTGACTTTGTGGGCCATTCATTATATAGGCACAGAAATTCATGGTGTATAACTTTAAACACAAAATGAGGAATAGACAGGGCGAGTAGTATCGCCTCTTAAGCTATCGCTTGTGATACTTCACCAGTTATATCGGGTCACTATACGGATATTAAAGGCCAAAATTGTGCATTCTCTCCGGTTCGTCACGCAAACTTTAACGACGTATTCAGTATAATATTGCCAGTAACTGAAGGACACTGAAGATTTAAATCCGTGTGGAATTAGGAGATTGAAAGAAAGAAAGCGCGTTCCATGTCATTGAGACACAGATCTGGTCTACGAGGGACCTGATTTCACTTTTTGTTTCCGGGAAAGCGACCAAATGAGGCTTTTCTTATAGGCCTAATTATAAATATCGTTTCTTTTATTAAAGGAAATGACCTTAATCCTATTCACGCTTTAAAGGCGCAAACTGCAGTATTCTAGCCTTCAACTAGTAACCGTAATTACAAGCAAGATCAAAATCGATTTTTTTTAAGCAGCACAGTTCGTGACGCACTTGGGATCCTGATGCCCACCAAGTCAATGAGAATATTGCGAAAGAAAATTATCCCAGTTATACCCCCAGTAAAAGATATATTTAGAGAGAGCGTCTCAAGAAAAGAATCATTAGATGTTTAAGGGAAACCAAAAGGGGAAATACCCCGAAGCATGCATGAGCCCACAATGGACTCTTGACCGTGGCGATTTCTAAGACAAATACAACTGTATGTCCGAGAAAATTAGCAGCAATAATTCCGAGTCGGTTCAGAGTGACCTCATCTCCCCGCCATTAGTCTCCGCCACGACTGAAATGCACAGACGAAGAAATAGTACATGAACTAAGCATCGAAGGTCCTAGTTTGTTGTAGAATGTGTTGAAGTTTTTTCTTAATTCATTTTTAAAGAAAATATGTACTGTTTACATCTACTATTCGATAAGTCACTGGGATTTTCGACAAACGCGAGCCTAAAAGCTTAAAGAGACCCTCTGACACCTTTAAAAAGGTGCAATGTTGAACCAAACAGCTACCTAAACATGCGACGAGTGAATTTATTGCAAGGAAATGGATTCAAAAACATCTGCTCAAATACCATCTTAATGGTGACCATTCATCGAAATCTCTTCCGCTTGTTTTCAGGCACGAATGACATGAAAGGAGCTACTCCAGCGTTAATGGGAAATTTTAAACACAAAAGGTTATTACAAATTTTTCGGACTCTTGTTTGAGTTCACCTGGAATTGATTGAAGGACTACAGTTTACACTTCAGGTTTTTACGTTAAGGTGTAAAATCTTCAGTCTTCGTAGTTTCTTAAGTTCGAAGAAACGGTTTTGATCTCGCCTTCAAAATGCGCAACTCTTTCGCCTTCGTGTTACTGTTTGGAATTTTCCTGAAATGCCAGTGCGAAGGACCAGCGAGTTTTAGAGGGTAAGTTTTTGAGCAACAATTAAGTGTCAGAAAAGTGGGAGGAAAACAACATCTCGAATACAATGCCAGCAATTTTGAAATTAATGAAAAGTAAAGCAAAACAAGAATCACAAATAGGTTATTTTCGTATTGATCAACTTGTTTTGAAAGACTGGGAGGCTGTAGGTTAAATGTGAGTCTCTGAAAAGGGGGGAAACACCGTATTCCAAGCTTTTTTTTTAAGGATGCCCTTTTCGCTAAGACCTCTTCTAACGATAAACGAGCTTATTTATTTAATAAGGAGCTTGTATCCGGGCAGATTAAATCAAGGGTCTAAATAAGGGCAGGTTTAAACAAGTTTAAGCCGCAGTGAGGATATTGGCAAGATGTTCGCCTTTTTTCGATAACGAATTATGACGTACTTGAATATTGTGGTAATAACCAAATTTTGTATAGAATATAGTTCTCTATGCTCATGTCTTGGCAACCGCGTAGCCTAGCTCTGACTGTTGATATTTACTGATTTTTCTGTTGCTGTGTGAGTGGTATTAAACCCACTTTGTTACGTTTAGACAGTGATTCTTCATGATACCTTAGTGTTAGCTGCAATGCCGTTGCGTGATTCATTCGAGATCGTTAATCTAGAGTGGGTAAATTGTCACCCGAATCGAAACCGATCTTACAGTTGAGAAGCAGTAGGTGTTGGGTTGGGGGAGGGGGGGATGAGCATTATGGGAGGAGAAAATGAGATAACGACTTTCAAAATCTTGCCGGGGCAAAATGAATAAGCATCCTTTTACACTTAACACATTCTAAGGTAACATTGTGAATTAAGAGTCAACTTAGTTGATCGTTGTTTAATAGTTAGAAGACTGGCAAGTGGCATTTACGCCAACTGATCGACAAGCGACTTTAATCATTTGTTCGTGAAACGTTTGTAACAAAAACGTCAAATTAGCTCTTTCAACACAGCGCCTGAAATGTGCATTGTGTACTTCTCCAAATCTTGGATACTTTAGATGCCTTATTTTCTCTCAGCACTTAAAAAGTGTACCCAAGGCTCACGCAGGAGAAACCAGGATTTCGTGACTGTGCTGTCAGCCAGCTGTATGTTTTTTTTTTCCTATTTAGAGATCGAGTTGTTCGTGCAACTCCAAAAAACAAGGCCCAACTACAATTCCTCGTCAGTCTTGAAGACAAGGCCGATGTAAGTATGACAAGCATATTTGAACATATTTAGCAATACAGGTTTTTTAATTTATAGTTTTGTTGTCAAGGTACGATTTTGTAAACAAACTTGAGCAAATGCCATGATTATTAGAGAGAGCTCTAATTCAAATGATATTAAGTTGAACTAAGGCCTGGGTCAAACGTCGAACCGGCTTTTCATATTAAAAACACAAACCAAACTCTAATTTAGGTCGACCGAAATTGAGTTCAGATCGTCTTAAGATCTTCAGACGTTGAACTTAGGACGCGTCGAGCCAATCAACTGAATAAGAACAAAAAGCAATTTTAACCCCCCCCCCCCACCCCCCCCCCCTTCTTTGTTCATGCTCAAATTACCTAACAACGACTACAAAAAACCAAAATTAGTCTGTCTTAGGGCGTTATGACCTTCTCTCGATTCAGCAGACAGATCTGCTTCACTGTCTCACGATGATTGAGTTGG